ATTAATCATTTTGAGCACTTTCTCATATGTCTCTTGCCCTTGTGTTTGTCCACTTTGGAGAAATGTCTGTTCAGGTCCTTTGCCCTTTTATTAATTAGATTATTTGTCTTCCTTTTGTTAAGTTATATGAGTTCTTTATGTATTTTGGAAATTAATCCCTTATCAGATGTATCACTGGCAAATAATGTCTTCTTTATGATATCATTTTAATGATCAAAATTCTATCCTAGTTCTTGATCTTTAACAAAGTTTATCTACTATAATTGTCTTTCTCCAAGAAAAATTTTATCCTAGTTTCTTAATCTTTAACAAAGTTTATCTACTATCTTATAAAAGAGTAATATGCAAATTGACTGTCACTCCAACACATCGATGACTGCTCCCATGTGGTCAAAGATGGTTGCCCCCATGTGGACATAAGATGACTGCCACAAGATGGCCAGCAGGGAAGGGCAGTTGGGAGGGACCAGGCCTGCAAGGGAGGGCAGTTGGGGGCAATCATGCCTGCAGGAGAGGGCAGTTAGGGGTGACCAGGCTGGCAGGGGAGGGCAGTTAGGGGAAATAGGCTGGCAGGGGAGCAGTTAGGCATCAATCAGGCTGGCAGGGGAGAGGTTAGGGGGTGATCAGGCTGGTAGGCAGAAATGGTTAGGGGCAATCAGGAAGGCAGGCAGGCGAGCAGTTGGGAGCCAGCAGTCCTGGATTGTAAGAGGGATATCTGATTGCCCTTTTAGGCCCCATCTGGTCAAGATTGCATTAATTTTGGAAATGATGATAAGATCACGTTTGAACTTATTCCTACTTAACTGACACAGTTGACTTTTGCCTGAGTCCTGCAGAGTACTTCAATATGTAAATTAATACAAATCAATCAAAATGACCCGGACGTTTTTACTACATTTTTACTGTTTATTTTTTTAAAATTCTAAAATAAAGTGCTTTTTTGAAAGGAGTTTATTAAAAAGCTTCGTTTTCTGGAATGTTACACATCTGCAATAAATAATAAATACCATTGCAGCAGTTGGCTGCCTCCACTTGCATGCAAAATAAATGAATACATTCGGTGACATACATCTGAAGAGTGTAGTTCTTGTAATTTTCACAGAAATCAGGAACAACTTTTCAGATGATGGAAATTTTACCCTCTGCTGGTAACCCAGAAACACAGCTTGTAACACGGGGCTCTTGCTGAGTCTAGCGTGGTTAGAGGCATTCCAGGACTCGGAATTCCCTGGAGCTTCAGTCTCCAGTGAGGTCGACCATCAGCCTGTTGTGGGAGAGTTCGCTAAGTGAAGTAAGCCAGCCGGAGACAGACGGATACTGCATGATCCCGCTTGTATGTGGAATCTAATGAACAAAATAAGTTGCCGAACATCAACAGAAATAAAGCAAGTGGTGTGATCCTGGCATAGAACCCTGAGGAGGGAAGAGGCTGAGTGTTAATGGCAACAGATCAAGAGAAAGGCATCCTCTGGGACTGGACCCTGCACAGGTTTCCCCTGTGATTAGTGGGTCCCTGGACTTGCTGTGGAGAAGATGCTGTCTTTATGAGTCAAATGTTTAGTCCTGGAAGAAGAGATCAAAGTTCAGATGCTGAGAGAGAGGTGGGGATGGCAAGTCCAGGCTCCCATTTGCAATGACATTTGCCTTAAGCAGGTGGCATTCTAGTGGCCTAGGCCTGGCAGGCCACGTGGGGGGTGGCTCGGTAAAGGGAAGGGTGGTGGCTGGGAAGAGCTGAGGGCTCGGTGGAGACAACACCGCGCTCACTAAGTGGGGGATGAGGTGCCGCCGGAGAGGAAGGCGCTGAGGAAGAGCTAGCTGCCCCTCTTCTCGGGCTGATTGTGGTCATTGGTTTTCCTCTGACGGGAAGGGAACTGCATGACACGGCATTGGGCGATCCCGTAAAAGCCGGTCCGTGCAGCCCTGGCCGGGCCCGGTGGTTGACGCACCAAAAAGATTGCAGGTTCGATCCCTGATCATGGTACATACGGGAAGACATCCGATCGATGTTTCTCTCCCTCATCAATATTTCTCTCCCTCTATCTCTTCCCCCTCTCTCATTCCCTCCCACCCCCACTCTCGCCTAAGAATCTGTAAAAACATGTCCTGGGGTGAGGATCTTTTAAAAACTAAGGGGGGGGAAAGAAGAGATAGAGATGACCAGTGTATTTCAGTTGGTCTGTTATGTGCAGGAAGGCCTGCGGGTGTCCGGTCCTCTGCAGTGTGAGAAGGCACAGGCCGGGCGCACAGGCAGGACCATCAGAGAGCTTAGCTAGCCGTGATGTGCACCTTGGGGAGCTGTTGGTTACCTTCAGGCTGGAAGGGCTTGGTGGGTGAGGCCAGCGTTGTTAAGGAGGAGCAGCTTCCTCTGCACCTCTCACTTCGTACTTGGAAGTGTCCCCTCCCCTGACCCTGGAGAGGCAGGAGTCCGGTGTCTGCCTCACTGATTCTGGCCTTTGTCTGAAGCAGGTGAGCCAGGCCGCACAGAGGTGGCCTTAATACACTGGTTCTCGTTGCTGCGCCCCGCACGGCCCCTCCCTTTTCTCATAACGCCTCCTTTTTGCTCTCCCTTTGCCCCCTGATGGCCTTGTGCCCCCTGCTGGGGCCTCGGGGGTCAAGAAGCAGACAACTGCATGCACGCTAAGATGCGAGGGCTGGCCAGGTTTCAATGTTTCCCTTCTGTGGTGTCTGCCTTTCTTACAGGGGTGAAGACATCCTAGGCCAGAGGAGTGACTCTCTAGTGGTGGAATTTCAGTCGTCAACCAGCCGATGCAGGAGGTATTATTTGGGGCATGGGGGCCTTCTCGGGACCCCAGATCACCCTCCATGACCACCTGCCTGCTCCATGTCGTCTTCGGCCATGTCGTACATCATACCCATGTTCAGTTGGCATGACCTGGCTGAGGACAGCAAGCATATGTATGGGGGTCTGTGTGCATGAGGTCTGAAGCACTGGCCAGGGGGGGAGGTGATGCCTGCGATGCAAGCTTTTGTTTCTCACTGCAAATGCTGGTCTGGGTCCAGTGAGACTGACGTTCTCTTGGTAAAAGCCCACACCGTGTCCATCCGTAGCATGAGTCACGTGTCCTTAGAGAAATCCCGGTTTGAAATCCTGGAACGTCCGTGAAAGCCGGGGTTCTACGTGTGCCTATCCACCCCGGGCCTGACGGGAAGCGGTTCTGGGAGAGTGTCTTCGTCACCCCGAGTCTCCCTCACTCATTCAGGGCCTGAGGGCCGCCCAGAGGGCGCTGGTGCCGGATGTAGGCGCTGTGGGCCCTCCTTGGCCAGGCTGTGGCTCAGTCTCTCTTTGTATGAAGGCCACTGGTTGGACTCCCAAACCTAATAACTTGGGGTAAATTATTAAGGACGAATTAAAATGTTAATGGGCTACATGTTCTGTTGTTTTTTTCTCCCCAACATCCCTCACTCTTACATGTAAATGCAGGGCTCTAGGTGCTCTCACAGCCTTGCCCGGAGCGTTTTTAGCATCACCATGGAGACAGCGAATTTAAAGTATATTCTGGCCACCTGGGCAGAGCTAGGAGGATAAGCAGTATTTATTTTATGATTATTTTATTTGTGCCCTCTACAGCTACAGGACACATATATCCTCTTTGTTTACCCAAGTTCACAATTTAACTAAAAAGTTGGTTATCCATACTATTGTCATAGCTTCTTTGGACCCACAGACCCGCTCATTGTTAATAGTTACTAACAGTATTTGCTATACATCGGACTGTGGCACCGAAAGCCATCGCGAAGCCCTTTCTTATAGACTGTCTTCATGTTTAAACATGTGCCCCACACCGTGAAACACCCCTGCTCTGTAGTGAAGACGGGGTGGCGGGAGGGGGAGAGACCGAGCGTGTGTGCTCTGTCATCACGTCATTGATTCGGGGAGACCCTGGGTCGGGAGGCTATTGTCCTGCTCCATCTTTGGCACCTGCCCCCGCACTGGACCAAGTGGGAGCTCTAAGCACAGGATGGCAAGGTCACAATCAAAATGCTTCTGCTGGGAAAGGAGGCCGGTGCTCATTCCGAGAGACACATGGGTTCTGTACGGCCTGTAGTGTTAGCTCTGTGCCTCCATAGGCCGGGTTTCTCTAGCGAGCTGGAAAAACAACAACAACAACAAAAGTCCATTCCCTCCTTTCACGACTCGGGCCCCGTCCTCATTATTAGTTACATTAGGCCCTTTATTTCCCCCAACAGGGGGAAGGAACACTATTTCTTCCTCAGTCCTCCCGTTATCTGGTGTCTGGTCACTTCATAATTGCGTTTTAGGAGAAGAGATATTAATTTTCTTCAACAAAAGGCCGAGTTCCTTGATGACACGCCATAATTCAATTTCCGCTCTCCCCCTTCGTTGCCCGTATCCCTTCCTCCTGGCACATTTTTCATAGTTAGGAGGAGTGATAGTGTCAAATATATCAAAAGGAAGAATTGATTCAGTCCTAGTTTGACGACTTGACTGATTAACAGAGATCAGAAGAAGGCTCGTAACTGTGAAAGCCACTGCAGCATGGAGCTTAACAGCTCTTCAGGGAGCCCGTTAATGAAAGAATCACTACAGAAACAGCCATGCACGGAGGAAAAAAAAGAAAGGAAAATACAGGAGCATGCCCACATAACACTCGGGGGCCATGTCATAGGAGGAAATGTGCTTGTGATTTCTATTTACACATTGCAATAATTACCGTCTGCCTTAAGAGTCCTCTCAGCCTCCTCCTGTCAAAGCTGCTTAGACAGTTCCTCCTTCACACGCACACAGAGGTCTAGCGCTGGCTGGGACTTGTCCTCAGGACTTTTCTCCTTCCGAAGACTGAAATTATCTGACACCCGAGCCCGCACTGCTTGGTTAGACTAGCTTTAACCGGATCCATGTTCTTGTCATCATCACCATTTGTCCGTGAACCAGACTTCTGCACGTGGGCGAATGTCACGTTGGACTGTAGCCTTTAATTTTTGTGTGTAATTATTCTCTTTTCTTTCTCCTGATGCAGCGTCTACGAACCAGATAGAAATGTGTTACGGAGGAAAGAACGAGAAAGGAGAAACCAGGAGACCCAACAGGATGATGGCACATTTAATTCCAGTTATTCCCTCTTCAGTGAGCCCTACAAGGTAGATGGTTTTCCGTTGTTTCTCTCCACCCCTTGCTCCCTGGCACCTCCAACCCCGGGATGACAGTTTTCACCAGAAGAGTTGCCTCATCAAATTCCAGTCAGGTTTCTGCCTGTTCAGCCGAGGGAAGGCCACCTTGCCACTAAGTATGGGGGGTCTCCCCGCTCAAATCTTGGTGTCAATATTGAGATCTGCTTGCTATCATTTTTATCAATAACATACATGTCCTCTCTGCATTGATTTTCAAAGTCAGCGCCACTTGTTATGTTCCCTAAGGTTAGAAGCAAACACAGTTCCGAGAGGTTGGGTTACACATCTGTCACCCATGAATCATGCGGGTTCCAGGGTACCTGATAGGGCCAATAAGAAAGAAGCTGTACCAAAGGCCAGAAATATCAGCACTCTCCCGAAGTGGGACGTCATCCCAGGAGCTCAGGCTGCACGGAGCTTGTGTGGTTTAGACTCGTAGCTTCTTGCCTATTTAGCATGTGTGCATTGAAGCTTCATTCTAGCTTCTTCCGCCTGCCATTCTGGGTTTCTGGCGGGGATGATTACATAGTTAGAACTTGGAAAGGGAACTGTTGGAACCAAATCTGATTTTTAGGAAAAGCTTCCAGTGGGACTGTGAAAAGGCACAAGCCCCTCCTGGAGAGCCTCCGTCGGGGCCGGCATGCCGCCTGGACGTCCTCACGGCGCACAGGTCCCGGGACAGGGCCTTTCCGTGCAGCCCCGGCCCTGGCGGCCCTCTGGGTCTGGTGTGCAGCCGGCGCTGACGGCCTTCCTCAGCGATGATGGCTTAGGTTTCACCTCCAGCTCCCGTTCTGCACGTGGCGGCCCGGCGCTGTGGTCTCTGATGGCGCCTCGCCACGGTGTGCTGTGTTCCCGGGGCCTCTAACGACAGGCTGTGCTTTCTCTTTCTCCAGACCAACAAGGGGGACGAGCTCTCCAACCGGATCCAGAACACGTTAGGCAGTTACGATGAAATGAAGGACTTCTTAACCGACAGGTCTAATCAGAGTCATCTCGTTGGCGTTCCCAAACCTGGGGTTCCGCAGGCCGCCGTGAACAAGATCGAGGAACATTTTGTTGCGGATTCCAGAGCCCAGCCCCAGGCCTCCGCTGTCGGCAGCACCGCATCTGCCACGCCAGCGGCTGTCCCCGCGCAGCAGAGCAAGAGGGGCTCCGTGGGCTGGCAGAAGGCTGGGCACCCGCCCCCCGACGGCCCACCGAGAGCGAGCAAGCGCGGACACAGGTTGATCGATCTCACCAGATCCGCTCCGCCAAAGAACCCGAATCAGAAGCCTAACCACTGTGTGTCCAGCCCCTCTTCCTCCCCCCCTTCTCCTTCTTCTTCCAACTCAGCACAACAGAGCTCTCTCAGGACCTTGCTTGGCGATGGCGCTGGCAGGCAGCAGCCGCGGGCCAAACAGGTGTGCAATGTGGAGGTGGGTCTTCAGACCCAGGAGAGACCCCCCGCCATGGCAGCCACGCACGGCGGCAGTGGCCACTGTGTTCAGAACTTCCCTCCATCCCTGGCCTCCAAGCCCAGCCTGGGCCAGCAGAAACCCACTGCGTACGTGCGGCCGATGGATGGCCAAGACCAGGCTCCCGATGAGTCTCCGAAGCTGAAGTCGTCCGCGGAAACCAGCGTGCACTGCGCGTCCTACAGGGGCGTCCCGGCCGCCAAGCCAGAGTCCACCAGGGCCAAGGCCAAGCTTTCCAAGTTCAGCATCCCCAAGCAGTCGGAGGTGAGTCTTTTCTCATGACTTCTGCAGGCATCTGCGTGGACCTGCGTGTTCTCCTGGCCGCTGAGGATTCAGTGCCCAGCTTTCTTTATTTCAGTGTGTGACCGCCTTCACGTGATAGGATTAGTAGTAGTCAGTAAGGGAGGATGTACGCATCAGTAATGCTTTCTTACTGTTTCACACTGATTACAGGCAGACTTTTTAAGTTCCAGCAAATGTAATTGTAGGTGTGTCTCTGTTAGTTCAGGAAGGAATATCTCCTTGAATGAGTTCAGGGGATAGTTTGTAAACAAGCCAGTATTATGGAGATAGTAAATCCTAAAAAACGAAGGTACTTCACGAACCATAATTTTCGGTATGTGAAGAGGTTAATTTTCATTAGTAAAATAGTTCAGATATTTAATATTTTGGTCAGTTTTGGAATGTTCCAGGACAAACTTTACAAGGTAAACAAACTTCTGAATGATTTTGAAGGTAATTGTTAAATGATTAAATGTTGATTATGGTAAATATTCAGATGTCCCATCTTTATTATAATATTTAAGATCCAGGTTCATTGGTGTTAATTAATAAAGTGAGGACTCTTTGTGTCCCATAAAAATTGTCTTAGGCTATAGGAAGAAAGCGAAATATTTTAGCTCAGATTTTCCTAGTTTGCATTGTGACTTTATTCAAATGTGAAGATTAGATGTAAAGAACATGAATTTAAAACAAGCAGATCACATAATCACAGAGAGGCATGACTAGTAACTTGAACAGAAATCTAGGTGGGAAATGTTTTGTCTTAGAGAAGCACATCTCCTACTATATTTCTAATTGATGACAGTTGTCAAGAGCGCAGGAATAAGAAATATGACTGCATATGTTTTATTTTACTGTGATTAAGGTGCAGTAACTGAAATAGATGTGTGTTCTGGAATGTTGTACTTAGAAACTGTTCAAGAGTTTCTTTTCTTTTTAACATATTCTTTTCTAAAGATAGAGTAACACTGTTGGCCAGACTAGTCTTCGTGTCTTAATTTGATCTCATAACCAAATGAAGCAGATGATTTAACGTATCTTCTTGATTGCCCTACAATGCTGATCTTAATCATTTCTGAGCTATCATCTCAGAAAGCACCATGCACCAATTGGGAGGCCAATATCTTACCTAATTAGACAAGACTTCCTTCTTTTACTTAGAGGCGTTTACACAGGTTCTAATGAGGAAATTGTACCAGGGACCAGTAACATCTTTTGATAATTCATTCATGATGGACCCCAGAAAATATTCATTAGAAATTAATAGAAGCAAAAATGTAACTTCTGCAAGCATTTATGTTTTTAAAAGTTTATAGGAAACACACACAGATCCCACCTTACAAAATTGAATTCATTAAGCTTTTTGATTTTTGTTATTACTGTCAAATGACCCTGTAATGGCAACAAAAAACATGGTTTATCCTTGAACAGAGGTGACTGCAACCATCAGGAATCCCTTTATAATTTCAATCCCAATTGATTCTTTGTTAAAATTATTTTTATGTACCAAAAAACTTCAGATTTATTCTGTAATAATCTATTTATTTTGGAACCCATTGAGCTGACAAATGGCCAGTTCAGCCTTATGCAAGTAATTACAGAGTTTGCATCAGGTGTTTGGGTATGTCATTAATACTTTCAGGATGCCTTTGCAGGAGCCAGATTGCGAATGACATACTGGACTGGTGTTCAGTAATCTGAGCAAGGGGGAAAGGCCTGGGATAGAGTCAGCCCGACAGAAATTGGAGCTTTTATGCAGGAAGTGTTTCACTTCCCCCACGTGTAATATCATACGCAGTCAGCTTGCTTCTTCCTAACGTTCTGTGCTGACCACTTCAAAGAGGGCAATCATGCATTGATAGACAGGAGGTAAGGAAAGTGCTGTTGATAGGACAAAGTTGTAATGGGTGGATTTTTCGGGGAAGGGTAGAAATGCAGTCTTTATTTTAGTGGAAAGCATTGCATGTTATGGAAAAGATGGTAATTTGAATATTGTAGTACTGCTATGTTTAATCAGCCCACTATCACATTAACAAAATGGCTCTTTCCGGTCAGTAGCATGGTGGAAGTTGTAAGTAACATTCCCCAACCTTCAAACTCAAAGGTTTTTTTTGTTTGTTTGTTTGTTTGTTTCTTTTTACATTACTCCAAGAAATTAAGAAATACCTTTTGGCAGGTATAACATTCATTGTTTTTAAGGAATTCCATAAAATCCTCAATCTTAACAGAAAACTAAGAATTTTACCAAACCAATCAGATTTTACTATTGGGAGAATACTTGCATTTATTTTTTGTAGAAACTAAAATAATTTTAAGACTAAAATATCTTCTATAAAGAGTTGACTGATCTCCTGTGAAGCAGAGAATGTGTTTTTTTAGGGAAATTGACAGAAGAAATGATCTGAATGGAACTTGTATCTTGACTATACATTTTCAGAATGTTAGCTGTTGAGTAGGCTTAGGGCAGTATGAAGAATCTGGGGGCTAAAAGGAAGTGTTAGGTAAAAATGACAAAGACAGGGAAGGTGCAGATATAGCTGTATGATGTTGTGTAGGCACATTCCTCATGGGAAGAATCAGGTCAAGGACAAGGTATACTGATGTGAAAAGTATTTTTTTAAAAATCTAAGATGTGGTCACTGCCTCCAAGAAATTTACAGGAATTGAATAAATTCAGTGCTGGCACTTGGCTTTTACTTTGTAATTTCTGTCACTTGAAGTCCAAACTAAATTGAATATCGTCTGTCTTGCCCTAGGACCGTGGTCAGCAAACTGCAGCTCACGAGCCATATGCGGCTCTTTGGCCCCTTGAGTGTGGCTCTCCCACACAATACCACGGCCTGGGCGAGTCTATTTTGAAGAAGTGGCATTAAAAGAAGTTTAAGTTTAACAAATTGGGCCCTCAAGAGAAATTTTAATCGTTGTACTGTTGACATTTGCCTCTTTTGACTAATGAGTTTGCCGACCACTGCCCTAGGAAAATTCTCTCACCTTTGTAGTTCTTGTAGCAGAAAAATAGTCTGCTTTATTTTTTTTACAATAGAGAATTGGTGACTCTATTTTGCCTGATTTTACACTTGTACATTCTTCATTGGTCCCTCACAACACCTGTACTCTGTCTGCTGCTGTGGTGAGTTATTTCTTACAATTCTTTAGTCCTCAATAATAGTAAATTAGTGTAGAAAAATTTAGTGCAATTTGATGTGGAAGTTAAGGATCTCAAGGGAATTCCTTAACTGATACACCTGCCTCCTAGCTGGTTTTCCCCAGCTCAGTTTTGTGTTTAATGAAAAACATGTTTTTGTTGTTTTCGCTGCATCTTTCACTCTTGGTGCCGCCCTCATTAGCTGAGCCCTCCCTGGGGTATGAGGGAGGTGGCTCTGTTAGTGAGAGTCCGAGAACCTCACGAGTGACCGAGACATGCATCCGGCAATGTTCCAGGGCCGGGCACCCTAAATGTAACTTCCAATCAAAGAGAATGACTTTTTGTCTCACACACAAACACAAAATTAATGTTTTGCCCTTAACATGTAATTCAAGATTCAGACGATGGGGGACTTTATCTGGAGGGCCAGGTGCAGGTTTTGTGGGACCTAAAGTTGACATTGTCTTGGTGGTGGTGGGGTTCTCTTTAGGAAACACAGAATTAAAAATACCTTTCTCCTGAAATGTTTACAAGAACATATAGTAGCACATTCCTAGGGCCTTCCTAGGCATTGGAGAAACCTCTGCTCCAGAGGCCCTGAGGCTGATGTGTCACCAGCTTTTCAGTGTATCTGTCTTTGGCTCATGGAATAATAATACATTATTATTTAAATGATAACTTTAGATGTGAAAAGAGTGCTTCATAGTAGCTCCAAACTTCGTAGAACTTAAAAAAATAATATCTAACGCCAGTTGATGTAACAAATGAGACAACATTGAAAAAGTCTGGTCTGCGGTGCCACAGAGACAGCAGATGGTCTCACAGGCTCTGGAACATTCGGCAAGATCCGTCCCAGCAGGGGCGCTCCACCGCCCAGAGGCCGGCGGAGCTGTCAGTAATGGCAGGCGTGAACCGGAACTGCTCCTGCAGAGGCTCCGGGGCTGAACTGGAAGCACTTGAAAAGGGAATGAAGGAAGGAAGCCAGGAGAGAAATACTTATACACGAAAGTCAGTGAATCTACTGTGTTTTAGAAGTTTTCGTCGTGGTTGAAAATTCACCCATATGAACAGAGTAACCATATTTTGGTTGATCAGAATTTTATTTGTTAAGATAAGTAATTAAATAGCTGAAGACATGTTGGTTAATCATCGCATTTTCACAATGGGCATTTTAAATCACCATTTATACCACCAACAGGAGCAGAAAGATAAAGTACCATGATTCTACAAAATGGCTTCCTAGAAAAGCAATTAACTGATTTTTTTTTTTTTAAGTTCACGGAAGATAAATGGTGTGAGCTTCCTATTTTTTGTCACTCTTGGCTACCTTTGTATGAAAATGGGTTTCTTCCACATTAAAGTCAGCAGCAGCCTATGGGGGAAAGGCATCTGCAGAGCAATGTGTCATTACACATTCATGCCAGGCTACAGTTCCTCATTGCAATTGAGCTGCTTGGTGTTTTCACATCAGCCATGCTGCTCCTCGCTCACTGATGACATGAGGGTGTGGGCCAGCCTGGAGATTCGGTTTCGCTGTCTGTTATGGACTCGTCCTCCCCACCTGCCTGGTCACTGTTCCCCTTCACCCACTGAGACAGAAGCCACGGCCTGCAGCATAGTGTGGCTTAGCAACAACACGGATGGTTATGCTCTGCACGCCTCCTGTCCCCTAATGCATGTGCTCCCTTCTCTCACCGTGAAAACGGACAACTTGTACCGTGCAGACTGAGAAGAGTGACTCAAAACTTGGATCTCAGGTGTAGAACGAAAGCATCTGTTTTCTGAATTGGGGAAGGGTCATTCTGAAGGTCATTGTGAAGGCTGGGAAGTGGATACG